CAAGACTCACCTCACCCAATTCCGGGATTCCCATGTTTGGCTTGAAATCTGCGTATACCGGTACTTTAGTTAGCACTCATCAGTTGACATGAAGATTTCTCATGCGGCTGGGTGATGTTATTGAACTTCATGAAGCATCTTGACGGGGAAGGCTTGATGGTCCCGTCTTTCTCTCACTTTCGCATCAACGTAAATCCTTCCGACACTCATCCAAGTTCTGAGTGCTCAGTGAGGTGATTGTGGGAAGTGAGGTGGACCTGTAAACGACAAAGGTACCCAAAGCGCCGGGTCATGACGCTCACCGCCCGGACCACCAAGATGGACCGTGGAATGCGGCACCCAAGGCGGCAAATCAGATCCATGGATGCTACCTTCGGTGCTTGGGTGTGCCTACCCACCTAAGCTACAGGCTATTCACAGCAGGAACCATGCGCCGAATAGGTTCCTCCCTCCGAAACTCTCACTGCAAGGCGCCTGTGACCCTGTGCAGCCTTCCCCATCGCAAAACCTGGAAGGCTCTCCGCGACCTTCCTGAATCTCCAAGGTCGCTCGCTACCAAAAACCCACTAAATGCAACCGCCACCATCGCTGCCCTGACTTGGTGCAGATCCAGCAGCGACAGGCAACCCGACGGCTCCTCACCTTCACCTCAGGTCCAGAATTCTCTCAGCACCGCCAACACGATCGCCAACGACGCCATTCACACAAATCCGAACCGACACGACCACTTGCCCCTCCAGGCAAGGCCTGCCGCTGCGAACCATTTTACCGATGCCGGCCCATGTTGACGCGCAGAGTCACATTCGTTTACAACACTCGATCCCATAGCATCAGCTCCCGACATCATCAGTGCCATCCTGCCCTATGTAGCGCTCGTCCGCTCTCAACCCTTGCAAACACAACACCCGATTCTCACGATCCGCCATGGATCGTGCCAGGAAGCGTCAGTTCCGCCCACCCGCCCGCCGCCTTCTCTTCTACTATTCGACACCTTGCTAACAATCATTCAGGTGAATTGCGCTCCCTGAACACCCGCGCTTGGGATGGCGAGCAAGGTTCGTACATCAGGTTCAAACCCCACCATGCCCAACACCCCTCCTCTGACTTGGTTCTCCTACACAGATCTGTTTGCTGTCAGCAAATCCCTCGATTCATCTCTCAAGAAGAATACCGCCTTCATCAAGCGCCTTCGAACCGCCGTATCAGCCGCGACCCTAAACACCTTCCTCCAAGAGATCCGCACCCTCAGCCTGCACAAGTACCTCTCCGAAATTGTCTCTGCCTGCTTCGAGGGTCTATGCCGACTCAAGTCCCCCGGCGAGATCGAAGCCGGCGTCGAAATCGTCAGCGCTCTGCACCAGCGCTTTGGCCCCAGCGAGTTCACCGAATACCTAGGATGGCTGCTCGGGAAGGGAATGGCAACGCCCGACAAGAGCTTGCTCAAGTCGTTGGCACCCGAGGTTCGCGAGAAGGAGGAGAAAGAGCGCTTGACGCGCCAGCGTGTGCTCTTGCGCATTGTCACCGAGCTTTGGCTGGTTGATATTCTGCGAACCCTCGACGACGTTACACGGCCAGACGATGCTACAAAGGGCGCCACGGGCAAGGTTGCCGAGCTGAAGCCTAGAGCGCAGGCAAACAGGAGCGGCGCTACCGAGCCCTTCCCTCTCGAGGTATTGAAGGATCTGTTAGGCCACGATCGGGAGCACGTCAACTTGCCTCTACTCGTCATCTTCGTAAAGGCTTTCAGCTGGGATATCTTGGGCGTCAAGTCTACAGCAGCCGAGGGACGAAAGACTGTCGAGGAGGACGGTGCGACCAAGACCGCCAACGGAATAGTACACGGCGAGAGTGGCGGCGAAGACCAAGCTAACGACACCGAAGATCAGCCGGTCACCCCCCCTGAGCTTCAAGAGAAGTTCAAGACAATCCTCAAAAAGTACTTCGAGGACGTCAAGAGCCATGTTGTCCGAGACCAGAAATCGATCCATTCTCAAGGTCGCCGTAATGCCGAAGCCTATGTCAAGTCAGGCGAAGTTTTTGAAGATCGACAGGCCAACTTTGAAAAGCAAATGAAGGCCCAGGAGCGGCTGGTAGCCAATGCGCAGGCCATTGCTGACGCCATTGGCGCTGATATGCCTGATCTCAAGGAGAGCGATGACTCGCTCGGCAACACCAACGGCTCGATCGGTCTGGTCAAAGCTGGTGACTATCTTCGAGGCCTTGGTGACGGTGCTGGTATTTGGGAAGACGAAGATGAGCGACGCTTCTACGAAAATCTCGTCGACCTGAAGGGCAAAGTTCCGGGCATTCTCTTGGACGACGGCAAGAAGAAGAAGCCCGATAACGAGGAGCAAGTGGGCAAGAAAGTAGAAGTCACCGAGACACCTGAACCGCCCAAGGTCCCGGATGCCGCTGAAGACCAGTCCACCTCCATTGCCAACAAGACGATCGGCGCTCAAGTGGATGCAGTGTTGGCTCGCCTGCCAGATCTCACCAACAAGGATGTCATTGACCAAGCCGCTATCGACTTCTGCTACCTCAACTCGAAAGCCTCGCGTAACAGACTGATCAAAGCTTTGACTGAAGTCCCCAAAGGTCGCGGCGACCTGCTGCCATCATGGGCTAGGCTCGCTGCTACTTTGGGTAGATACATGCCGGATATCCCTAAAGGCCTCGTCGACTATCTTGATGCCGAGTTCCGCAGTCTGCAGAGACGAAAGGACAAAGACTTTCTCGGCCAAGTTCGCTTGAGCAACATTCGTTACCTTGCTGAACTGACCAAATTTGGCATCGTCCCGGAGCATGTTGTGTTTCATTGTCTCAAGGTCAGCCTCGACGACTTCTCGAGGATGAATATTGAGATTATCTGCAATCTCCTAGAGAACTGTGGACGGTACCTTCTGCGGAACCCAGAGACCTCACCGCGCATGGCAACATTTCTCGAGACATTGCAACGCAAAAAGTCTGTCCAGCACATTGGCCAAGCCGAGCGCATGCTTATTGAGAACGCCGTCTACTACGTTGACCCTCCTGACCGTCCGGCAATCCAGCAAAAGGAGCGCACTCCCATGGAGCTGTTCATTCGCAAGTTGATCTACATGGATATGACCAAGCGTAATTACAGTAAGGTCTTGAAGCAGATTCGCAGACTCCACTGGGAGGAGGCCGAGGTAAGTCAATATCTATCATTGCCGTGTTGTCAAAAGTTAACCACCTGAAAAGGTCGTCAACATTCTTGAAAAGGTCTTCTCCAAGCCAGGCAAAGTCAAGTACGGCAATATCCACCTTCTCGCAATTCTCCTCAGCGCAATCTACCGCTACCACCCAGCTTTCGTAGTCAGGGTCATTGACACTGTCATGGAATCGATTTGCTTTGGCCTGGAACAGAATGACTTCAAGTTCTACCAGCGAAGGATTTCCGAGGTCAAGTACATTGGTGAGCTCTACAACTATCGAATGGTCGAGCATCCAGTCGTCTTCGACACCATGTACAAGATCATGACGTTTGGTCACGGTGGCCCGCCCATTCCCGGTCGATTGAACCATTTTGATTTGCCCGACGATTTCTTCCGTATTCGTCTGATTGCGACTATCTTGGAGACATGCGGCATGTATTTTGCCAAGGGTGCGGCTGGCAAGAAGCTAGACTATTTCTTGTCTTTCTTCCAGGTTTGTGTCTGTGAATTTGATGTTGGTTTTCATCGACTAATACATGATAGTACTACATCTATACCAAGCAATCGTTGCCCATGGATATCGAGTTCATTGTTCAAGATACCTTTGCTCTTACACGACCGCAGTGGAAGTTGGCAACCAACCTCGAAGAGGCTTCAAAGGCATTCCAACTTGCCATAGCTCAAGATCAAAAGGTGTCAGGAGCCGACAAGAATCTCGAGGCCGATGATGCATCCATTGGGTCATCTTCGGACGATGAGGATGGAGATGAACACCTGCCTGAGCCCGAAGCTGATGAAGAAGAGTCTGATTCTGGCGAAGAGGCCGAGGTAGGAGAAGTGCATATGTCGTGCTGGTCCAAACCGTCACTAATCAGTCGTACGAACAGGACAACGACGTTGACATGTCTCACGCGGACTCCGACAGCGAGGATGAGGCCATCGTGGTCACTCGTCAACAGGAGCAAGTTGATCCGGAAGCCGAGGCCGAGTTTGAACGTGAATATGCCAAGATGATGGCCGAGAGTCTGGAATCTCGCAAATTCGAGCGCAAGCCCTTGTTCGACGTGCCGTTACCCGTCCGTGGCAAAAGTAAGGAGTCAGCGACAGGGCCTGACTCTGGAGATACTGGCGTCCCCGCTCCCAGTAGCACAATGGCCTTTTCGCTCTTGACGAAGAAGGGCAACCGCCAGCAGGTGCGTGAAGTCATGGTGAATTGAGTGCAGTCACTTGCTTTGCTGACACGCCTCGCAGACACGAACTGTAGAACTCCCTTCCGACTCAACATTTGCTGTGGCTATGAAAACTCAGCAACAAGCCGAAAGAGAGGAGCAGCAACGCATCAAGAACCTTGTCTTGAACTACGATCTTCGCGAGAACGAGGATCAGGATGGTAACGACTGCCCAAACCCACTGAAAACACATCCAGTTATTCACAACCCCCAAGCAGGTCACGAGAAGGCAACTTCCTACCACCACAATCGAACAGATCGCGGAAAAGACCGTGGCGGACAACGGGTTCGCAAGCTTCAGCTAAGTGACGTTGATTGGTATGAATCATCAACCAAGCGTGGAAATCATTTTGCGCGGGTGCACACTTCTCGCTCCGACTGGGACGTAGAAGCTGGCAACGATGTAGAGCAGTCAGAGACTTCTCCAACACATCATCACGGCACTGTTCACAAGCGTCACATGTCGGCCATGCACTCTACGCCCAGACCGGGGGATCGGAAGGAACAGCCTCGCCGGGTTCGCAAGTGCCAGTAGAGTTTGCTAACGATGAGGAAACCTCGCTTCTATTACAGGACGTGAAGAACGCACCATCATACAGAACTAGATTCTGAGGAAACACATTATTGCAGTCTACCAGACGTCACCGACACAACCCGCTGGAGGTTGCCGCAGCTGCCAAAACTTCCAAGGTGGAGGATGGCCCATGGGGCTTACCGAGGCAGAGCATCCATGCGAGGCACCAAACGTGGCCGAGTATACCCTCGTCAATGAAGCTTACCAGAGACGCCTGACCGACCGATTGGCTCTTCAAACTTATAAAGCTCTACTGTCTAGCCGAAACCCATGGCAGACTGGCAAGTAAATGATCCAAGCTGCGATCGACAATGGTTGACCTATAGGATTCATATGGATGAAGAGGCATGGATTGCAAGGACGGCCAGTCACCCGCTAGATCGTAGTTCGTGCGTGAGGGTGACGATAAAGGAGGAGCGAGGAATGCCAGGTGGAATGGATGGGGTGCAGAGCAGATCTTTACCACACCAGCTAAGCAAGTGGTACAGTACCTCTTAGATCTGAAGCCATCGCTCTGGTAGATTGACACAGGGATTACCGCCGCCTTTTCTTTACAGAGGAGAATTCCCACATTCAACATTCTTTTGATAGAGAGAAGTAGATGTCCCAATATCGAGAAAGGTAACAGTTGCATGCGCAGACACATGACAGGAAACGTTGATCATTTTCATTTCTTGTGGGCGAGTCTGGCCAAATGCTTCACTCGCAGCGGCACAGGGGAAAAAGGATGGCGTGAATGTGTCTTTTGGTCTGGTCGTTGCAGCGAAGTCCCGATAGCCTGATCTTGTATTCTCGCAGGATTTGCAGCTGAATCGCTGCAATCCGCAGGACAGAATCTTGAACAAGCTGGTTGCGGGTGTGGCTTACAGTCGACCCCAATGTGTGGTTCGAGAGTTGGCGTGTAGTGGAGTGGAGCGTCATGGCCCTGGTTGACGGTGCTAGATCTGATGTAACTCGATGGTGCTTCTTGGCAAGCATTAGCTGTGGGCAAGAGGAAATACGAAGTGCACATGTTTCAGTTGGCACAAGCAGTACCATTTCTTGGAAAGGGTGCCATCGTTCGTTTCACCTTGAAGAAATAGGCTGACGTTGCATCGTCGTCGAAGCTGGCCAGCCCAGTCTCGGTAGAGAATTTGTTTTTCCTTTGCTGCAGGAAACGTCCCGACAACAGCATGCTGTGCATTTGACGCTGCCATTGTTGCCGCGCAGCTACTCAGCACAACAGCATCGCGACTGCAGCCGCGACCGGACGTTAGGGGACCTACATCCGGTGGACGCAAGACGGATTGCGAGGAAGCCGAAGGTGTGCTCCGAGGTTCATGCAGGTCAAAAGTGTACACCTAAAGTCTAGGCGATGGCAAAAGACGAACAAGACCCTGTGCGCGTATCGACGACAGCTTGACATGGCTGGGCAACACTATTGGGCCGAACCTTGACCTTGTTTGTGCATAAGCTTCCTCCATTCGTCCGATGTCGAGGTTCTCGCGACGCCTGCCTCAACTTAAGGTAGGTATCGCAAACGGAGAGGGATGTTGCTGATGCATTGTATTCTGCGGACTTGGCCGACAGGCTATCAGCAGTGCCGCGTAAAAATGCTGACAATTCGGAATGGAAGGGAACCACATGTCGCTCTCAGACTTGAGGTGGTTGATGAGGTAACTAGCCACAGTCGAAACTTGAGTCGGCGGCGGCGGGCGATCGCGTGGCAAATCGAGGCCGCAAACAACTATCTGTCGCCTATGTGATGCCATCGCCGAGCGGGATGAAGATGAGTGGGAGTAGCCACCTAGGAGCACTTGGAGGGGTGCTCTGGAAGGGGGTGGGGTGTGAACGAGGCACGCGTGGGCCTATGGCGCCGTTGTCCCAGTGTGTCCTGAAATATCATATTCCGGCTGATCCTGGGTTGCTCGGACGTCCACGGACCGTCTTGGGGTGGAATCTGTATGATACCATGTCTATATCCACCGGCTAGGTAAGAGATGTTCAGCACCGACCACGGTAACGCTGAGCCTACCTTGGACTGGCGGACGGGGAGATGGAAGGATCAGTAAAGGAGGATTCGAGCGAGCTCTAGGACGTGAGGAATTGGGCAGGGTCTTGCTGCAGACATATGTGTGTTTTGAATCGAGATATCCGTAGCAAAGGAAGCTTGAGGTCAGATACATGTCTTGGGATACGGCGGAGTTGGCGTAGATGATTTGGAAGATGGTTGTGTGGACTGTGGAAGAGTTCGAATGAGGCAGAAGTTAGAACAAAAGTCCAGTTGGTTCTGGCCCGAAAATAGACGGGATCATTCGCGGTTGCATGGATATCGGAGAATTTCATCTCTTGCCTCCGTCGACTTTGGAGAAGTGAAATAAGAATTCCCCACAGGAGCCGGGATCGTCGTCGGCAAGATTGGCTGCCCCTGGACCGAACCGTCTTAGCGCCTCCAGCAAGGTTCAGCGTGCTAACTACGTACTCCGTAGTGGCTACCTACCTACCTACCTAAGGTTAGTAAGGTTAGTAAGGTAGTAGTGAGTGACCTTGAGCGAGGTACGCCAATCATAAGGAATTTCCTTCCCGCCATTCCTAGATGTTCCGTCCTTCAAAGTGCGATGGAAGCACCAGATGCAAATCATCAATGTTTCCCTCCGTCATCTCAGTCAACCTCAGCGGACAGGGATTTTCTTCTCGGCGTTTGACAGCAAGGGTTTACTGGCCCCAGTATACCTACCAACCTGAAGCTTGCTTCGCTGCCTCGCTCGGTTCTCGATATGCTCCGAGCTTACCTTGGCGATGCTGCCTCCACTGCTCTAGGAAAAACGAATAGGTATCTGTCGTTGTTTGGTCTTTGAGAGGTGACGGACACGGAGTGGCAAAGGTTAACCGGAATGGCTTCTACAGCAACCGCGCGCAGGGACAAGCGGGCGGGTTGCCGCGTCTAAAGTACGTGACTATCTACTGTGAGAACAGAACATTCCATCCCAAACTCAAAAAGAGACCCTTCACCTTATTTCCCTGGGGTGATGCTCTGCATTCACCCTAATGCGATGGCGGTCGAATAAGGTGGCCGTACAGGGCACCGCAAGTTCTTTGATACAGCGGCCCCTACCGCCCGAAGTCCCGGCTGTGCTGGCGACCCACCTGTCGGCTCGTCTGATCCCTGACCCTTTCCCTGACTTGACCCAATTGGGATGCTCAGCTAATACAAACAACCCCTGCTTCACCAAGGGTAGCATGGTAGATGCAACTTCACGTCCTGCTTGAGTGCCAACAGCGCATACTACGTACCTACTTTGCTACTCTCACATCGCTTCGGTGATTTTGCCTGGCTCACCTGCCGTGCACGTCGCATTCTACACAAATATGCTCGGATGTTGAGAATGCGGGATACCTACCTTACCCCAGAAGGTATGGGCTGTTCAGACAGGTGGTCCCAAATCTAAGAGGTGTGCAGAACAACTCTCACGGGCTCGACTGGGCTGTGCATTCCACATTTGATCATCACGTCCGTCTCACTCTCCTACTCAGAGTTGTTCCCAGCAACGAGTGCCTTGACCGGCGTAGACGCCGTTACCATCGGAAGCACATCATTTCTCAGCAACGATCGCGGATCTAAACGAGACCATGAGGACGGGTGATGCCCCCAACCTAACCTTTGCGTGATTAGCATTCCGTCGAGAACCCGGCTGCGTGGGAAGTTGAAGACACGAGGCATGTCGCACCAAGGGTCCTGACAGCCGCACCACATGCCATCCTAATCATCTCGCCCGGTTAACTGATACAGCATTTCTGGGCGAGGCTATTGCCACGATGGCAACCCGATTCGTCAATGTTGCCACGCACCCGACGCCGGGGACGTCCAGGAAACTGTAGAAACACATCTCTTAGGTCCCGCAAGGCGTACAATTTGCACCTCGAACCGGCCGGTCGCAATACCAAGAGCCCAGTCCATGTGCGCAATCGGGTGGCTATCCCGCGCCAAATGATGCCTCGTCTGGCTTGACAATGGCGCCCATCCATCAATCGGCTAAGGTGATCCGTGCAGGCCGGTGATCCTTGAGAGCTGCTTTTGCTTGCTTGCTTGTTTGCTTGATCCCCTTGGGCTGAATACCTAATCATCCTCCTTACCCACCTATTCAACTTGGACCATCCAGAACCCCCCCTCACCCCCATTAGTCTGTGAGGTGCCGGATCGATCCTAGACGGGCGCGGTTCTATCGAGCCTCGAACCCTGTTCGCGCCTCCCCCGTCTTTGGTACCCTTTCCTTTTCCGTCTGGCTCCATGTTACGCCCCAGGCTTCTTAAGACGAGTAGGAGCCGGCCAACATCTCCCGTCATCTGATTTCCTCCTCAGCGTCTCTTTTAGTCTCCGTCGCTCCGCGATCTTTCTTTGTCCTCTCTTGCTGATCCCCGCTCATGATGTACTCGTTGACCTCATAAGAGCATATCTGAGCTTGAGTGTCGCGACCGACCTTTTATTGCCTGGAAGTGGCCAACCTGAACGGGCCGGTCACTACTGGGAGGTGAGTCGTTTCCTCATCCGGCCCATTGGAAGCCACCACAAGCTCACCTCACTCGAAGAAACAGGCAATTTTGCCCGTATTCACGGCCGAACTACTAGACCTCGCCTTCCGCGGTTACCGACCACTTTGTTCGGATACCTTGCTTGCGTTGGCACGGTACAACTTGAGCCTTGACTCCAGCCCGATAAACCCGTCCGACTGGGTTCAAGAAAACGAGTGTTAAATATAGTACGTGCCGAACAGGCGAGCTGCAACTACCCGACGACAACACGCTTTATCTGCACGATCCCGCCTCCCTCACCGCGACGTGGACTTTTTTCCATTCAGCTGAAGTTGCGCTTCCCGGTCGGCTTCTTGCCCGCCTGCGTTTGCTCATACTTCTCGTGTATCGTCGATTCAGTACACATTCCTTAGACAAGATGGAAGACTATAGTTATCTTGTCAAGATGGCGGAGCCTGGCGACGAAAATTACTGGGCCCCCAAAGATGTGAGCTTCTTTGCATCTCACATGCCCATTTTCACTAGCTGACATGTCCAGATTGTTTACACTGCGATTGTCGGATTGGTGATGCTGGCAGCCATCCTCGAATGGTTCCTATGGATCGCCGCATTTCTATACTGCTTGTGGAAGGTCTTCGTCAAGGCCGAGCACTGGTCGATTCGAATATTGGCAGTCATTGTTGGCGTCTTGTTCACTTGTTTCAGGTAAGTGACGGCTGTCACGCAATCCCCTCGTACGAAGGATGGTTGAGCTCACGATCATTACCAGAGCCATTTTCCTTCCCATCATGATCGTCACTCTACCATTGCCCAGTGCTGTCGTAAAGTACTGGCCAACGAACATGGTCGATGTGCTTCAGTGGTTCGCTTTCTGGAGTTTCGCTGGTCTTCTGACCATTCCATGGCTTTTCTGCGTCTATCAGCTTGTTACCAACCAGCTCGGAAGAACGAAGAGAATCAAGCAGGTTTTGGACGAAGTTTCGGCACCAAAAGTCGTCATCGTCATGCCCGTTTACAAGGAAGACCCCGATGTTCTCGTTGTTGCCATCAACTCCGTCGTCGACTGCGACTATCCGCCCTCATGCATTCACGTCTTCCTCTCGTTCGACGGTGATCAAGAGGACGAACTCTACTTGAACACTCTCGAGAAGATGGGTGTCCCATTGACCTTGGAGACATACCCCAAGAGCATCGACGTCTCATACAGGTCCGCCCGTATCACCATCTCGCGATTCCCCCATGGAGGCAAACGTCACTGTCAGAAGGCCACCTTC